CAATACGATTGCTACGTGAATCAAATGCAAACTTGCGATTACTTCAATTAATCCAGCGGTGTTCAACAATATTGTTATTACAATAGAATTTAAAAATTTGCTCCGTAAAGTAAAATAAGTCGAAATCTTATTAGCCAAAAGAAGAGACAGAGAAAATGCGTAACTCGGCAATTTTCTGCGTCGCAAACTACATTTTTTCAGCCAGCTGCAAACACATCATCCAATTGGAGATGACATGCTGTTCGCTCGATAACGAGGAAGACGACACTCGTCATCAGTGGTGCGCATATACACGTCGATAAATAGCTCGATGAATAAGCGACACGCGAGGACGCGTGTGAGTGACGTTTAATTACTTGTGGCGCGCATCCCAGTTGGGCGCTTCCCTTCGTTAACACTTCCATTTCCCTCTCTTACTCCTGAACGCCTTGCATTCCCTGTTTCTTTCCAAGGCCACTTCGATGAGTAGACTATTCCACTTTTCTTTCGCAGCCATCATATTTCAGATTGCAAACACGAAAAAAGAAGCGTCCGGCCGTGCTGAATCACGATGATTCACAATCTTAGCCTCGGAATCCTGGATTTTCGGATTTTCGAGAGCGAGGCGGAAAAGAATTTATTAGTACATAGACAAAATTGCGCAAGTTTGCGCATTATGATTGCCCCTAAGATATCCCAAGTTTGGAAAGTACGCGGGAGAGCCGTAGACGAGCAAGCATAGCATCATAGCGTCAAGAGCTGAAAAGCGTGAATGATAAATTCCTTGCTATTCGTGCTCGTTCAACTTGCCGACTGACTTTTCCACTTCTGCGCACGATTGTTTTATCTTGTGCAACTGCGCTTAAACGGAATAGTATCTCGCGCTGCCGCATTATTTCCCGAACTGACAACTTTTGATAAAGAGCGAGAGTAATGTCAGCTAATTAACTTATGCTTCCTTGGATTTTCTCAAATCAATGAGTATTAATCTTCTTTAACACTACCTTGAACACTCTTTATACAAGCTTGAAACGTAATCCTGTAGCTTGCAACGATTCTCCAAAAGCTATCACACAACAACTTTTAACTATTTCTCAAAACGCACAAAATCGTTCTCTTAAAGTCTCAAGTTACATCGAGTTATATCCCTCGCTGGAACACGTATAACGATACGATTTCCATAATTATACCGCGCAGCTAAGCAACTAAACTAACGAAACTCGATTACAGCCAGTTCTCCACAAGAGCAGATGAGACTTAGACCTAACACCAACTAATTAACAATTCCAATCAGCATATCTTTATCTTTGTCCTTTTTAATTCACGATAAGATACAGCTCAAACAATTAGGTTGGACGAACTGCGTGACTTTTTTCAAAAAATCTCCAAGTGCTCGCACCAAGTTTTCATTAATTAGCGTAGTCAGCTTGCTGCTGCTCGCATTGATTGCGAGATGCTAGGAGGAAGAAATATTGCGATGATTCTCTTGTTGTGCATTTTTTTAAATTAAAAACTCGAGATGCAGCGTGTAAAGGCACTTGGCGGTGGTCATTTGAAATGTAAGCGTGAGACGCTGATTCTCGTATCTCGACAAATATATACAAGATATAATAACTTATTTTCTTACCCTAACTTTTACATTACTCATAATATCGAGCAAGTTCATCAGTTTTTGTTTCTTATTACAACATGCATTTTAACGTGTGCTTACCTACGACAACATTTCTGCAGGCAAGCTTACAAATTCATCCTGCCGCACATATGAAATTCATTTTTAATGCATTAATTTGAAATTATCTTTAATTTTGCACCTTCTGTCGCTTGGGCCAATTAGAATCAAACTACATTAACTTCACTTTTTCAGATGTCCCTTTTCATAAGTGGATGAGAAAAATTTCAAGAAAAACTTGAAATGTCACCTAAAACTAATGGTAATGTCTTTGACTTTATGATACGCTAATTTTCTATAGTCATATTTTACTGTTGGAATAACGGAAACCAACGAAGCGTATTAAAAATCTGTCAAATTTCTCTCTAACGAACGCGAACGACTGTATTTTTCGTAAAAGAAGCTTACGATACTGCTAAATATTGATTTATTTAAATTTTCACCTGACCGTTCATTTACATTAGCGCTTGAGGCGATGTATCTTCTTCCATATAGACAAGATACATAATTTGAATATGTATTATTGACTGTGCAATAACAGCAGTGGTAACAGTGCCCAAAGATACATTTTTCTTTTTAAAATCGAATGTATCACAACGAAACCCCGGTTAACTACAATTAGTATCAAACTAATAATATCAAACTTTCAAAACTTTCACGGACGTACGTGCGTTAAAAGTTTTAAATAGATAACATCTAATATTCAAAGTATATAAAAAGGGAAAATAAGCAGCTTTCGTAGATAGATTTTGAAAGTATTTTTATGAAACGAGAAATACGACAATAAGACGCTTAAAGAGGATTAAAAAAAGAAAAAGAGAAGCTTGAATTTCTGAATGAATGTGGTTCTGAAGGCGTGGTTCCGCGAAGGCAAGACACACATGAGTTAGAGGATCACGTAAGTCGAGAAATAAATTACAGGCGCAATGAAAAATGTTGTTATGCGACATTTCACTCTGGCGAAAGCAGCTTTAAAACGCGTTAATATTACGATATTGCGTGTTTCGCGTACATTCAGTCGACGAATAAAAATGGCACGATTCTCAATTCCTTTGTATAATCCATCATGAGACACTCGATATCATAATCCTTCGAGCTACGAAAAGGAAAAGAAATTCCAAAGGAATAACCCAATAATCCACGACGCTCTTACGATTCCTACATCCAAGCCATTGATCCAAAGCTAATGGCTCGGAAAATACGGTTCTTCTTCCTCCTTTTGTCTATGAATGATAATCGACAATGATAATCTTAACTGATGCGATGACTAAAACTCTCCTGTCAACTTGAACGGATGCTTGTGAAAATCCAGTAATCGTCTGCTCAAGGAAGATAAAAGGCCTCCGCGAAAATGCGGAAATAGCAGCCGCGAAGGGGAGATGATCTACTCAGGATTATTATACAGTTTTGATCGGTCCAATGCAATGAGAGGGAAGCCACCAATGATTATGTAATTTATAATGCGCATAATCAAGTTCCAACTAGATACAGCCTTGTGCGGACCATTAACGCGTATTGAATAGTATATAGAATAGATGTAATCAACCAACGACTATAATGATGACAGGACAACGGTTAGTTGGTCGTCAATTGGATTTATTCGACCACAATCGGAAATACTTTAACAGGATAATTACAGTGTGCGTTGAATAAATGATCGACAGCGATCGATTTTAACGTTTCCACTACTCGACTATATTTCCCTAATGATTGTAAAACTCCGAGCAGCAGCAAGGGCATTATTTTGAGATGACCAGCGAAGTAGCGAGATAGGACTGAGTACGTGATAGATGTAGTCCACGATTGAATCCTCGATTAAATCGATTTTCACTTGAGTATCCTCATTTCTCACGCATCGTGCAAAGCCTGCGTTCGAGCTGATAAACGCCTTTACATCATTACATCTGCACCCCCGATCGTTAATTAAAGCCTGCAGGCTGAAAGGAGCTTGTCGTTGCTTTGTTTTTTGAGACGTCGATGTTATCGAACGATACGCGAGCGCTAAACAAATCGTCTGATTATCCGACTCACTGGAGTGCCCAAAGAACGAACATATTTAAATAACATCTTATACATGTGCCAATTCGAATTTTGTCGTCATATCAGTTTGACCTACTTGCTTCATTGGCAAGAGTAATACTCGCGGCGCATCCTTAATCTCGATGTTCACTCAAAACTTTTTTTCAAGCGACTCTAAAGAAAAAGAAGAAAAACAAAGAGTTTCTCGGCCTACATATTTTCCCCTTATCTGAGGACGTCTTTAAATGCCTTTCTCTTGTATATCTTCTGCTATATGCTTTTATAACTTTTTCCCATTATTTAAATGTTACAAAACTGCGTCCAATCAGATAACTTTACGATTACGCAAATTTATGAATCAAATATAAACTATAGATTGGATTTTGAAATGATAAAGTTATTGCACGCAGTGATAATGCAACTTTTAATTTTTATTAGTACGCAGCAAGGAAGGATGCATAACGATTGTATATATAACTAAATATGTATATTTTCTATAAAACAAGTCTTTTTAAGATTGACTGCCATGGTCTTTACACATGAATCAGCCAAATTAAACAATACATCGCAACGGATTACACAATTACAGTGGTACTCGTAGATTGTATATCGTATAGAACAAATTTTTGTTGGCTCGTTGTCGCGAGTACAATGAGGAACAATGTCGACGTTGAGATTAATGGCTTGTCACGCGTTGATCGATCGATTATCATCCCAAAGAACTTGTTGCATACGCAGCTCGTTTTATTATGGTAACTGTTCTCGCTGCCCTTTTTTTTAGAAGACTACAGCGCCACTCTCTGCGATGTTTATCGGTAAATTATAAGTGAAATCTTGTTTTTGTTCAATTGGGCTATTTGTCTCGGATTTGAGATGTTCAGTATTTCACATGCGATTAGTTACTTTTTTAAAATCATCGTTTAATCGTCATTCTTCCGAATGAAAATAAACATGCTTAAACGTTTTGCAAACTCCGATAAATTTTTCAGTTTCATCCATTAATCACGTGCAACTAAAAAAAGATTCTCAAGGCGGCACGACGGGAATGTAATTTAACGCCAAAGAAACCGCTGCTGCGGAAAGTGCATAGCTGTCGTTTCCAACCCATCCCTAAAAAGCAAACTAGTAAACTCACTCCCTCGCGCTAACTTTGAATAAGTGCATCCTTCTTGCCTCATCTTGCGTGCGACTCGCTCAAAGAAGAAATCTAGTTACCTAAAACGAATGTTTACTCTACGACGACGAGACAACTTACGCTACGGAAACGTAAATACAACTATCTTTCGTCGTGTTTAAACCGATATAAATGAAGGTAAACTTGTCGATTACTTACTTCTGTAACCTTTTTCAACAACGACGTCCTTTCTCAGTATGACTTTCCTCTTGGTTTTTGGCACTGAAAAAAAAAGAAAGGAAACATTCGGTTGAGGCTTGAGAAATCTTACTTCTTGGCGACGTGTTACACGCGATTTTCCTCGGATCGCGTAAGCTTTTTTGCTCGATCGAGCGCACCCAGCGATTTTGCTCTCGTTTTGCCTTTTTTGCTGTCTCGCAATCTCGGCCTCATTTTTCCCCTTTGCAAGATGTGTGCGCGAGACAATCTTGTTTTATATTACGTGCGCGTGCGCCAATTTTCTGCATGAACATTTCACACGCGGTTTCATGTCGGAAGACGATTGGAGGTTTATTTGCAATCGAAAATTTAATATATGGTATATTTCATATTTTTTTTACTTTGATGCATGAATAAAATACAACAAAAATGCATCTGCGCGTTTCGTCGCTTATACATTTTTTCTACGACATTTTTACTTATCACTTTCCTTTCTTTCCAACAATTTTTTTGCATTTTTCCTCTCTGCATTATACAGTACAAACTTTCTCGAGCCTTGTCACGAAAAGCTCATAACTGAAAAGTTTTTTCCCGTGAAAGACACGAAAATTGCTTCGCCGAGAAGAATTTTTCCTGTGTATATCGCAGTTTGAATACATTGTGATATCATTTTCTAAAAGTATTTCGCTTATTTGACACTCCATTAAACTTTATTCAACAATTGATAAAAGAATTATGTCCATTTTTTATATTCATATGTGACTTGTGAACTGTAAATTTAAATAAATAAAAATATAGCATACAAAAAATTACCTCGTCATCCAAACATCAAACAACCGTTATTTTATTATTTTTTGCGAGAGTGATAAAGTGTATAAAAAAATAATGAAAGTGTTCAACTGAAACTCATTGTTTACATTCAATCTTTGCTCGATAGCTTTATTTTTAATCGATTTGAACACAGGGAGCAATGTTGCGGAGCAACCAAATTGTACGGGGGTCAAGGTGAGCTACAACAATTTTTGTCCACACTTTCTTTTCGTTAAACAATGAAAGCAAGTATGCGTTAGTAAAAGATGTTTATTCATTGGCGATTTGCACGTAACTCAAGTATTCAGCAAATATTGAAATTTTTATGGAGAACTCGCGAGATTCGTCGGGTGATTACTTTCAGAAGATCGATTTATGATATATATTTTTTTAATATTTCAAGTTTGCCAGTAAATATAGCATTATTTTTATATGGATCTTCGTCGTTATTTTTTCACAGGGACCTTTGAAAAACATTAATTTTCGTAGAAAAGATGAATGTCACAGTAATATTACTTTTTTTTGCGTATTGAATAATCAAAAAAGGTAAAGCAAAAATTTAATAGAAAATATTCGTTTAAAATATTTATTATCCTTTTTATCATTTTTCATTGTAGAATTTTCTATAAATTTTCATTCTACAAAAACTTTTCTATTCATGCCGAATCGTAAAACATACTTTACATTTTGACGGAATTTATCAATTTTTAGATTTTCCAAACAAAATACTCATTCACATTTCACGTAATAGGCAAATATTTTCACATTGTATACTTACACATGTCGCAGTCAACATCGTGTATGACAATCTTGATAGCTTCACCATCGGCAATGCTGCCCTGACGAGGCAGTTCGCGGTCGTCAACTGGCACCCGGGTTATTGGACCAGGAACTACTGATGGCCTCACCGTAGTCGGTATTTTCGGCCTATAACATGAACAGATAAAAGTAGACACCCTTTTTTGCTGTAATTTTCAAATTTAATATTACCATCCTCTGATTGTAATGTTTATTAGGAAATATGTAAAAGTCTATCTTTACATTAAAATTTTCGATGTACCGTCAATTACAAGGTCAGGCGAACTAACTATACAAAGAATGTGATGACTAAACGTAACTATTAAAAATTAAACAAAGATTTTAAAAGCTCACTGTAATTGAACTCAGAGTGTTATTATATAAAATTATGACCTCAAAACACTTCGAAGTAGTGGTATTTATAAAGCATCGAACGATAAAGAACTGAAAATAACTTGGTTCAAAAGACATAATTAACTGTTGAAAGATTCTTACTTAATAATAGACCCAGCATCTATAAATAAACAATCGCTTCATGGGGTCGCCAAATTAATTAAGATAATCGCAAGCTCGAAGCTTTACTGGATCTATTTATTTGCATAAAAATATCTTTTGGATAAAACTTGCAGTCGTGCCGATACGATCGACGCAACGTGACATACGCAAGAGTGGAGAGAAAAAAAACGTGCCAATAAAGCAAAATAAATTTTTCAACTTGAAATTACTCCGTTGGCAAGACAAATAGGAATGACATTGATTTAACTGGCGAACTTGAAAATGCTTATTGCTCTCGAAGAATGATGTTTAGGATTGATTTATGATCACTATATCAATAGTTTTCTGCGTGCAATTTTTGATATAATGATAAGGTGTTCGAAGCGGTTAACTTTTATTTACTTATTGCAAAATGAAAACGATCGCTAAATACTCGTTGCTTCCTATCCAGTTAAATAAAAATAGAGATAATCATTACAGCTATATATATATATATATATATATATATATATATATATATATATATATATATATATATAACGAATAAATATTCGTTACTAACGCGCGCATAGTATGAGAAGCGACCGCGATAGAAAATAACCGAAAATTCATTGGAACAGAGCCACGCGGCCGAAATGGAAGGGGGAGAGCGGCACGCGACAAGAAGGATAGCAGTACCGTTCGAACCAGCAAGACGAAAGTCGTACAAGCCGATTGGTTTTTTCTGGTTTTGTGAGTATTGGTGCGGAGTGCGTCTGCTACGCGGCCGTTGAGAGCTTGACGCCCGAGGCCACGGAAGACCAAAGAAACGAGAATGACGATTCCAGGTCGTCGCTCTCCGGATGCAACGTCGAGCGTTGATACTCGGCGAATGATGATCGCCTCAACCGCCTAGCGCGGAATCGTCCGTGGTATCGTTGTCTACAGCAACGATACCGGGATAAAGGTAAGCTAACGCCTTTTCCTTTATTTTTTTGTATTTTTTGTGTTATGTGAGCATCGACGTTTTTTTTTTGTTTTTTGGGAGCCTACAATCAAGTGAATCGACCGCAGTTAGTCCGCGATTTGTTACGTGTTTGTGTTTCTTTCTCTCTCTCTCTCTTTCTCTCTAGTTGCTTTGTCATGATCAACAAGTGCGTGTCTTGTTGATCATTTGCGTGCTCTCAAGTCTCTCGGTCAAGAGCTTGCTTTCTTTGTCACTGGTTGACAGAATAAAATGACATCTCTTTCAATATCAAACCAAGTTACGTTCTATATTAACCAAATTAACTGCCTACTGATCCCCGCTCGTAGCATAGGACCTTATATTTATTTTCTTTCGTCTCTAGTTCCTCTTCGTGCTTCCGCGCTCGTTTTCAGTTGCGCGAGATATATGCGCGATCAGCTAAGTGCATTGCAGGAGTGGATCGAGGTGGTGGTTAACCTTGCATCGTGGGACGAAAATTTTCTGTAACGGTGACAAATAAATAAAACAATTATTTTATCCCCCCCCCCTCCCCCATTACATATCATAACAAGTTTCTGAAAATGAACCATTTGAAAATTCATCGAATAGAAATAGAAGATGCCTACTCAAAAAACGGCAATAACAGTAATTTGCTAAATGACCGAGCAAAAGCTTCGATGCCAATTTGTATAAATAAATTCGTAACTAGGTGCGTATGTTTTGCGAGCTTCATGCAACGCATACGTTGTTTGTGTATTTGGGACAAACGTTCATTTGAATTTCATATTGAACGAATGCAATGAAAATTGCGTCAGCATAGAATTACTCTGGAACCTACTCGTACGGGTTTGACACTAGAAATTATTTTTTAATTCAACTCCCGCTAGCAGAAAATAATAAACTTTATTACGCCAAAGAGCTAATTAAATCACTACGATTACGCCATCGCCATTCATGATTAAATTGCAAAGGCAGCTAAAGTATAAAAAGTTTATGATGAAGGCAAGTTCGAAGTAATAATAAATTGTAAGAATGTCGTAGCGCTGTTGTTGTTCTTGTGCATGACTCTTATCGAGAAAGATGCCGAAAAATTATGTTCTATTTGTCAGACTCTTCCATTTCGACGAGCATGACACGAGGCAACAGATTTATGACAGAGGAGGGTTCGGACAAGCAATTTCTTTTTTCAGGAGGAAGAAAGAAAACTTGAGCAATTCATCGATAAATCTAAGCGGCCAGAAAATGAAATTACAATACTCAACTTATCAAGCTCATAAATCAACTATGGTTCGCTTCCAGCAACTTAATTTCGAGAGGAAGGAACGCCAGACTCGCGCGGAGTAGCTTGATTATCTGTCGAGCAAATCATCCGAAACAGTAAAAGCAGCAAGCTACAGCCTTTGCGCATCTTACAGCGAAACTTTAATCGTAAATCCAGCTCAATCCCGGCACATCTCAAACTTTTGATTCAAATTAGCGTATATATAGGGTAACTCGAGACCCTCCTGGCGCGAGAAAAAAAGATATTTTTTTCCCTCGCGCCGTCTTTGCTCTGCGCGCGTATAAACGCGGGGGCGTAGCCCTCAGTCGGCGTTAGCTAGTAAGTGCGATGAGATATGGCCTGCGGTGACGTTCACAGCCTGGAGAAGAGGAATGTCTGATAGAGATATCTTGATGTATAGTTAGATTTGGAGTTCGACTCATCCCCGGTTTCGGAGCTGATGCTTTTCATGCGGTTTTCGCAGCAGATTGTCCTCGTCTCTCGTCGAATACAAATTAAATACGCCTTGGCAAAGTCGCTAAACAGCGACTACTTTCGAAAGCGGCTGAGTCTGCGAGAAGCGGTCGATGATACCGACGCAATTATCCGTTGAAATGGCAATATACAAAGCTTCGGATAATGATTAACTAGGTCAATCAGGTCGCAAACAAACACAGTTTCGTCGAACCATTAGATCTCGTTAACGTCACGCTCACTGTCCCATTATCGAAGAGTTGGATTGTAAGCTTTACTTTGCATTAGGTTTATTGGCGTCGATTCTGAAAGGGAGAGGAAAACGCTAAATCCCCTTTCGATCGCCAATGAAATGGGATTTGCCAAGGCGCGAGCGCATCGAATCGCAAAAGAATGTAACGAGTTCAATCGACTTGGAGACTTTGAAAAAAGCTACGGTTCTCAGGAGATTGTAGTGGCAGGATGCTACCAATTTCAGTTTCGTTATCTCGCTAAACAAAAACTCTTTGGTCGCGTCCAAATCTTTCTTTTTAGCTTCAATTATCCTAACCGAAAACTCCGTTTCGTCATCGTTGTTGTGCTAATCTTAATCTTACAGTCAGCAGTATTTCGTGATCAAACTCACATTTTTAGCTCAAGATTGAACCTCGGTGCAAATTGCCAGTAAATAAAGTACAACTCTCGTCGTCGTTCAACCAAATCAACTTGCAGATTGCCAAAGTTCACAAATCGACGTCCATTGATAAAATTCCCTCGGCAAGATTTACAGGCAATGGGCGTTCGTGTGCGTGCGCGTGAAAATGCAATCGTCCGTGAGGCATTAATTATTTCTCTAGTGGAGACGTGAGACTATGTTTGCCGGCCACTCGACTCGCGATCGCGATCGCGAGTAGAGTTTGCGTTCCTATGAGCCAAGTGCTGCTACGTAGGTTAACGCATAAAGGATTCTTTTATGAGCTGGCTCAAAGTTTCAAATGTTTGCTTGTATAAAATTCGGATTGCAAGCCTCTTCTACTCGTTGAGCTTGTAAAGCAGATTAGTTTATGTTGCGGTTTACGTGTCTTTACCATCTGATATTTCGGGGAAACGAAATTGACGTTTCATGTCGAAATGAAAATTTTCCAACAAGAAATGGCATAGTTGAATTCCGAAAACTTTTCCATTACTTTTAAAAAAGAATACGACGAATTCCGCCTGTCCAGAGCACTAAAAACTACTTTACATAGAAATTATACATGCAAATTCTGGAAATGGACATCGTAACATCGTAATGAACATCAGAGACCGTAGTTTCTTTTTTGCTTTCTTTTTTGTCTAATTACCTACCATCCTTTTACAAAAAATAATTTCATCTTTCTTTTTGCTGAATAAACTGAAATAGTACGGCAGGTTTAAAATTGAATTCAAAATATTCTGACCTCAAAATCGCCTTTCCTAGCTATATTTAATGGAAATACTTTTCTTTAGAAAAGTAGTTTTTTAAGTAATTGATCAAGTCTTTATTCAACAATTGATCCGTTTGAATCTTTCTGTACAAATCCTTATTATTAATTTCGCCTACTTTTCAATGACGTTTTTAAATCACCTTTCTCAAGGAAACAATGAACAAACGAATTTTACACTCATTAAGTTACACTTATTAAGCACAAATTTGATTATTTTTTCCGCAAGTATCGAGTAAAGGTGAGATTCTTGTTAAAACAATATTTTGTGTGTCATTCGCAATAGGAATCGTCAAAAGAATCGGTAAGCTTTATACATGTTAAACAGAAAAACTGAGATGTGTCTCGGTTTGTACTAATATTCATGCTAAATAAATTTTTGAAATGTGTATTTAAAAGTGATAAGGTGGATGTGACGAGGAAGATAATTTTATTCAAAACTATTTAGATAGAACGTCAGTTGGGACTCAGCCTCGCCACCATAACAATGTAGATATTAATCGTTTACCTATGTTCATTCTACTCATATTTGCGTACCAATAGTCCTTGCTGTTTCAGTCGGAACGCAATTCATATCTCGGTAATGGTTTTTCAATTTTTTTTTTATAATCATTTTAATGTCCAAAGTGTGTTCGTAACTATTTTTTAGTTTTATTGTATTTAATTGACTATATTCATATTAATTATTAATATGTCCATTTATTCTAAACTTAAGAAGGGTGATTTAAAAAGGTGACCAAAACATCGGCGAACTTAGATAAAGATTGGCTCAGAGAGATCCAAAAGGAAAAGACTTGGTCGATTACCCAAAAACTCCTTTCTTCAAAGATTGTAGTGAGCTGCTTGGAATATAGCAACAAATATTAAAGTTTTTTCATTTTTCATTAATCAAGAGGATGTAGTAAAATTGGGAAGTACGAATAAAAATGCCATAGAGCTTTCAAATATACTCGTCTCAGAAAAAAGACCAGAGCAAACGTTTTTTCTAAGAAATATATGAGAATTCTTCAATATCGACGAACTCTTCTCAAAAAGCCAGATCCAAAATTGGATCTCTACAGACCTTGCTCGCCAGAGCTCCATCGACATCAATTTTATAACGAGTCGTGCGGATCAATAGCTTTTTCATCCCGCTTTCTCTCTTTAGAATTTTTTTTTCGAGAACCACAAGATTCAATAAACAATTCTCGTATATTTTAATCAAAAAGAGCATTTTGTCGTCATGGCTTGTTCAATATGTACAAGACTATTGTTCTACAATAAGTTAATATCCAAATTCCTCGTTGCATGTTTTTTAATTCATTGATCAACTCAAAATCGTTACCTTAGTGTTGGTATATTGGTGTACCAATTTTTACAATTCAGAATGAAAGGTGTACTCACAATATAGATCCGCGCCGCTTGAGCTTGAGATCCTCGGGAGGAATGATTTGGTTGACATCCGGAGCACTTGTCTCATCGGCTAGCAACGGCGCTGCCGATACTCGCATCGACGGACGTCGCGACGTAGAAACTGGTGCTACATCTGATTCTCGGGTACCTGCAGATCAACCATCGTCGTACTAAATTAATCCATATTAAAATAAATTATACTCGACCGTGTGCATACATTCTCCACTATCAAAAGTGCTGAGCGAATAGTTATGAGTTCACAGCTTGCATAACATTTTCATCTATACGATCTCTTGAAAATCGATGTTATACTAAAGTCTGCTTTATAGCGCGAAATTGTATGCGAACGAACGAAAACGGAATTAACTTCGTTATTGAGCGAACATGACAATTTAATTAGCTAGTGGTATTTGAAATTTGATATTAAATACTCAGCGGTAAAATGCTTTCAACGTCAATTAATATCTCTATTATTAATTGGACAAATGAGCATAGATTAATCATCAATTTATAGGCTAACGTAGATTTCCTCCTGTAAAAATTAAGCTTTCGTTATTTGTACCGTGGAAAGGTGTTATTTTAATGAAAACTCAGAATTTGCTGGGCTATTATAGAGAAATTTTTAGATGCAGTCGGCACTGCTTAGATGTACCTTATTAGAGTTTGAAATATTATTCCATTTAACGTGTTTCAATGTCTCGTCAAATTTAATCAGTAGCGGAAGGAAATCCCGGAAAGTTGCCGGAAGATTAGGTTAAACGAAACGCATCGTAGAGATGTTAGTCAGTCGTTACTTGTTGATTAGCGTTGCAAAAGGAGTCCCTCGAGGCATCGAATTTCAGCGAGTGGGTAATTGTGTTGCACTGTGCGTTGCAAAGTTTTCACACCCGACGGTATATACATACATACATGCCGAAATGTGCGCACCGCGGCTCTCGCGAGAAAGTATAATTTGCGTGGGTCCGGCAAAGTGTTGCCAAGGTCGAAGAAAACAGAAACGACGACTTATTAAACTCATGAAAATCGGTGCGAAAAGCACGAACAAACCTTGAGCAGATACGGAAGCGCGATGCTGAGATGGAACAATGGCCGCGAGTCCCGGCGGTCCACCAGTCGAGTAAATGGCAATGTCAGACTTGCGTCTTGCCAGTCTCACGGGTAATCCTAGCGCTGCTACCTCCGCGGCTGGATGGCTGGAGTGTCCTGGTGCTGCCGCCACGGCTGCAGCTGTTGCGGTCTTTATCTCATCGTCGTATGAATGCTGTCGCGTGACCCTCGAAGGGCGACGTATGCTACCGCCCCCCATTTGTGCGGCTCGCATTTCGCGATGTCGCCTGTCCTCTTCTTCGTCTATGTCACCGCTGTCTTGGTCTGGGAACACGGCATTTTTCTTTGCTTTCGTTTTTGACACATGCAAGCAATGATGTTCAAATGCTACGTTTGGAAATTCAAATTCAGTTCTTTAATTAGTCATTGGAACGCAAATGAAAATCTTATTTTGTTTCATTATTTCAACAAGCTTGCCACACAGCATTCTTTTCGATTTTTCATTTCGCTGAATATTAATTATTCATTAATTTCTACTGCATAAACATGACCATTCAATATATCACTGCTATACGAATATTACAATATACTCGTAATTAAATCAATGAGACACGTGCATTCACGTGCAAGTTATTATCGTTATCTCATTATTTCTTTTATTTCACAACGACGCTCGTCATTATATTAATCCAATACGAAAACTGTATCATTCTATTGTCCATTAAGGTCTCTGTGTAGCGTGCTAGTAACCAAAATAATAGCACTGACTACGTCAGCAGACATATTTTCGCGAGCATGGTTTTCAATAATTGTCTCCTTTCACTCCGGGCGCAACAATTTGGGATGTGATAAAACGAATCGTGAATAATAAAAGCAGAAAACGCGGAATAAAGAGAGCGCTTCACATGCAAAGTGGAAGATGCGCATGAGAGCATGAAAAATCACTGGTGTCGGAGAGGATGCAAATGATGGATGATAGGATATATATGAGGGAGTTAAAGCATTTTTCAAAAGACGTTGCGCGATTGATGAGCAGACGATGCCTTGATAAAATAGGGATAGTGTCTACGGCGAGCATTTCTTTTTAATATCACGCTTGACTGAGTGCGAAGATCAACTCTGTCGTTATGGTATAAAGGAAATCATTGGTCACCAAAGTATATGTGTTTCGATGAGTGATTGATGTGCAAACGATGAGAATCTTCGACACGCGATGACGCGCATGGTCAACATGTTTTGAAACTATAAACTAGTCATCTATCTCTCCTGCATTATTATATCTATACATGTCAATTCCATTAAGGGCTAATCTATAAAAGCTTTACCGATTATGCTTTTTCCCGGGGAGATTGATATATATTTTTTTTATTGTTTTTTTTTTGTTTTCGCTGGTGTGAAACGCGCGCAGGGGGTTAAAATTGAATTCCCAGTTCAGTCGTTGGGATATCGGTTCCCACCCGCGCCAAAAGCCATTCACAGTTTAAACTTACTCCGGATTTAAATTTCAATCGAATCTCCAATAAAATGATTCGAAGCGGTGTTCGTTGAATTTTTACGCCAGATATCCCGAAGATTAAAATAAAAAGTACGCGGAAAAAAACAATTTATACGGGCTAACAATTGGTTTATGTTACGCTTCTGAATGCGATTTTCTCTTGGTGTCCAATTTAATGATCATGCTCGTTAAAGGGTTAATTCTTTCGAATTTTTTATGCGCGTTAATTGTAATTGATTGTCGTCAATGATTTATTTGATAGCGAAGATATTCCGTAAAAAAGTGTATGATTTCAAAACTGTACAACGAGTTTTAATATTTTTATCAAAAATTCAAATAGCGATAATGATGATAATAAAAAACAATGAAAGAACCATACGAAAGATGAGAAGCAAAATCAATAAATGTACAACGTAAATCGAATTTCATTTGGCACTTACCCGGAACTGCCGAAGGTTTTCTCGAGCGTTGGGGACTAGAACCACGTGCTCTGTCAATAGGTCCACGTTCTGGATGTCTATCAGGCGAATCATTTCTCGATTTGCTTCTGTGCTTGTTGTCCCAGTCGTCTGTGGCGACGTTACTGCCGCGACGTTGCTGCTCTCCTGCGAACTTTCGAAACTGCAAAGGTTAATGAGAGAACGAACGGTTAGGTAACACAGAAACGACACAGCTGCGGTGATGATGATGAAGGGATACAAGTTATACCAGGCACATTCATATATACATTTTCTTTTTCCTCCATGGTGTCTTTGTTTTGTAGCATTTATGAGTTAAGTCGTAAATGAAGTGTAAAGGCAATCACTTACGAGAAACGCTGATATTTTTATTGGATTTTCGAGAAGCGAATCGCTTTCGAAAAAATTTATAAACTCTTCCTCGCACACATTTCGCAGTTGATCGAGCACGCTAAAACAAATATAAACCCGTCATTCGCGCGACGTTCTTTTGTCGTCGCGGGGTGCTGCTGGTTTTTTTACGTGTCCACGAAATCGCTACTATGCATCGACGAACAATAGTTCCACTCCAGATATAAAAAAGGCCCTTCGACGGCGATCGGAAAAAAATTGCAAGCAAGGCCGATAAGCTTCATACCACCCGATCCTCAAGGGGCGTTTTTTCGGAATTAGCATGTCGTCGCGCTGAAAATGAAAATTCATGGATATCGCACAGAATAAGAAGAGCTTGAAGAAGCCATTGTGTTAGATTCAAGAGGGTGGACTATGTCAATCGATAGCTATTTACCGGAGCGAAGTGCATATGTCTGACGAAACGTGGAGTTTTCTACTTGATCAGCCAAGAGATTTGTCGCAGTTTCTTCGTACTCATAAATACAAAGATGAGGCCGTTTTTTTCTTATAGATTTTCATTTAGATATGAAAAATTTAATCAAGTGCACAAACAGAAAACTATCCAATCGAAAAATGAAGTCATAAAACCAGCTACATCTCATTGATATTTGAATCTTACTCGAGTTGGCGAATCTGTTCCGTCGAACGAGGCTTATTAAAACTGAATCTTTCGACTTTTTACTACAGTTGATCGGAACTTTTAACTAGCTTGGAGCGTATAAAAAAAGGAAAAAGCTCGTCGGTATAGCGATACGATCTATAAAAGTGAAGCGCAAGCGCGCAGCACAACCATTTACTTGCCGCATATCTGCGTTGATCGATCGGAGGAAAAAAAGTTTCATTTATACGAGAGGGGGATAATTGAAAGAGCAACGTCGACGTCAGTAACCGCGTAATGTTTGCCGGAGGCGTTGCCTTATATCAACGTTTGCTCATGTTTCTTGGTTATGCCTTGCTTCTGGTCGACTTTTGGTATGTTTGTGTGACTTAGACATAATTGATATCTTACAGTGATCGAACAGTATGAACATTATGAAGTAATGTCGTGAGTAAACGTGATCGGGTAGGTTAAAGGGGAGATTTGCTTGTTTCAAGGTTTTCTAATAAATGTTGTAGCATCGTGCGATGCGATGACGTATTATGCCTGAAAAAAAACAAAGGATAAGTTGATGGACGTTGCCTGGGATATTTTGCAAGACTCATTATACATATTAATTCGAGCATATAACAAAGCGACACTAACGGGATAGGTTGTTAACGTTACAACGAATAATTCATTGCATTAAATAATGTCGGCAACCACTGGCTGCTTCAAAAACTTATTGGGCGACAGTTTAAATACAAAATTAAACCACACTCTTTCGATTGTTTAGGAGACTTGAGGAGAAAAATGAAGTAATTGACTTGACGCAGAGGCTCTCTGAGGAGATAGACCTATTATGAGATTGACTTCGTCGACACAGAGAATACATTTGCAAATTGCTCGTGAGTGAGTGTGGCTTCGTTTGGGTTCTACGATCTCAGACAGAAAGAGCATAAAGGGGCTGTACAAACGACCAGTGGTATTTCATAGAATAAACTGCGGTGTGTGTGCGCGCGCGCGCTTGTGTCTATGTGTGCGTGTGCTAGCTTCTGTACATTATTTGCTGCACGCAGCTGCGGATGGACAAGCATTTACATTTATACACACAACTTATGTATCTTGGTGATTTTCTTTTGTTCGCTATTAATGAGTCAGTATTATGGAGATGTTATATTACTATGCATTATCCTCTACGTGAATAAACAAGGTCAATTGCTAGATCATGTACTTCAGGGATAATTGATTAGTTCCCGATGACTTTTCTAAGACTATAACTATATTACTAGATAGTACAACAACGCGTCAATAACAAAACCAAAACTTCTTTCAATTTTCATATTCTAACTAAAGTCTTTTATTATTCGTCTATATAATATAAGCATTAAAGTTTTCAAATTATTATATATATTTGAAAATCCTACATTTCCGACAGCAACATTTCAATCCAAATACCATACCTTTTCAAGATCTTTGAGACTTGCAGGTGATACATCGGAATGTCGCCTGAGATCCGGACTTCTGGGTGGCACAAGACCAGCGCCAAGTGTACCTGCACCAGGAGCTGTCCCCTGCGAGCTCAATCTCACATCACTGTGACGCCTTGCTAGACCTTCCATCGGCACTTCCAGCGAGCCATTTGTCGTCAATGCTGGCTCGCGGGGTGCCAACTTCCGACGACACACGCTGCAACGCCATGTCTGCTAGAGCACATCAAGTATCGTTAATGACCTTTGCTTGCGTCGTTGCTAATGACGCATAAAAATAGTATCGGGCTGCACGCAACGTTTGCTTCTCGTCGTTCATCTGTTTGTCTTTCTTTCGAGGCTTCGACGTTCGCGTCAACTGTTAATCCAATGACGAAATGCAAAACCCACATTTGGAATTGATTTGCTCTAGAAAACGGAGCAACTTACAAATCTTTCGATGATTGCGAACCCCTCTCTCTCTCTCTCTCTCTCTCTCTCTCTCTCTCTCTCTCTCTCTCTCTCTCTCTCTCTCTCTCTCTAGAACGAATTATCGCCGGTTCTCCATTTTGATGCTTATCTCGCAGCCAAAGAAGACGGGAAAAAACAGAGGATTCGTGTGAAAGTGAAGAATGATTACGGCTCGTCTGGAGCGCCAGATAAACAGGCTAGGAAAAACAACCGGCGATGTCTTAAGTAATCAAAGCTTATTTCCAAGAAGAGAAAACACTTTAATCCAATGCTCCGCCTAAGCCTTCGCCGTTGGATTAAACTAAAATTAAAGCATTCCATGGCACCTCAGCTGCGTGGTTTTTCTTCCTCAACGTAAATTTTTAACGGCGCGCTTCGTCGCCGAGTTTTCGCGCGATATTTCAGTCGCGTGTTGCGTCGCCGGCTCGTCTCAGTTCCTTTTTTCTCTCTCCGCTGCCAGCAGCCGCGCGTGTGAAAGAACGACACAACGGGAGCCATTTGTCAAGCCAGGACGCAGAGGACTACGGAATTTTAATCGCCACGCCGAGGCGAGGTGTTAATTTCTTTTGTTTGCTTCCCAGTGAGAATAAAAAAACACGCGAAAGAGAGAGTTCGCTTGTGACGTGTTGGCGGTTTGGATTTAGATGCTTGTCGGAGATTTTTTGTTTCTGCTACCTTATCTTGGCTGCGGCATTGATGAATTGCCAGTTTATCGCCAAGCGAAGATGTTTGCATTTTGCGTACGGATAGAAAAAAAAGTTTGTAACATTTTAAGCAGCGCAGGTGACAGTTTAATGATCAATTAGCCAAGTTTGATGAAGTTGTTGCTCATAATCATTTTATTTCGTGTGAGATAATAAAAATAGACCAAGTTTTTAGGAAAGCGTAAGAGATCGTAATGCAAATTACAGTCTGTGAAAATAGTGGAGCACACAGAAATGTCGTACATATAAAAATTACAGAGTTGATAAAAATAAAGCTTTCAAGCAAATTAACCGAGCATTTTTTAAAATAAAATATTCCATTTCACTTGGGATAAAGCATTTTCACGCAGAACGGCGAAAAAAGTAACGTCCTCCTCAAAGTGTCTTTCAGGGGGAAAAAACCAGCGAGCTCAACGTTTCCCGTCTATTCGCGAACAATGGAGAATATCTCGCGAAAAAGCGCGGAACTTCGTTTTGCCGATGTGCAAATTGGAAAGCGACAGTGAGGAAAAATACAAAAGCGCGGGAGAAAGAGAGAGAAAGAGAGATGACTTATGCGTCTAACCCTGGCAATCACGTTCGTTGAATCGAACGTTGAGCCGCCCCACTTGATTTACGTTAAGCGATTTTTATACGAGATTTACGACTCGAACTTTTGCATCGGGATGCTCAAACTGTAGATTTTGACTGATATATTCGGAGCAGCTCTCCTTCCCTTCAATTTCGCTCAAATCTATCCTTTTGACAGTCACATTCAGAACGCTCACCGTAGAACGAAAATATTTTTCCACGCCGAAAATTTGAATAATTCTTAACGCGACATTAAACTCGCGTGCAATAAATTCCAGTGAAAGCGGAAAATTTCCGTCGCGAGCGATCGCATCTAAATGTACAGCAAGGGGCGAATAAATGAAAAAAAGGAAGCGGTTGCGCAAACCCTCGAAGCACCATCGGAGAAATTCTGCGCGTCGGACGTGCATGTGACAAGGAAATGGTTTGCTCGCTGACACCTCTCTCAAAGCAAGCTCGTTACTGCCGTCAGCCTACATATCATTGACGCGTGCGTATGTGCACCTGTCGTGCACGTACGCCCGCGCCAAGAATATCGCTTCGACGACTTCTAAAGACACGCTCGTCGGATTCTTTTTTCGAAGCGAAGTGTCTTCGTTATTTTTTTGTTTGCTCCTCGGCGACGGCAACACACGCGGTTGCCGACTATCGGAAACGAAACGAACGTCGAAGATAAATAAATGTATGCTATTTTTGCGGCTCCCAACGAGAACCAAACGGCAACCCTGACCAAAAAATACAAAGCAAAACTAAAGAAAAACCGTGAAAAAGTATGCTGCAAATGTACAAATTGTAGTGTGAATGAGATCTACTAGGATATAAAAGAAAAGAACGAGACTCACGGGATCGTTGGAGTCGGTTTGAGTGGAATATGAGGCACAGTCCTCGCAGACTTTACGTTGGCACTCGTAACACGTGCGCGAGAAGTCTTCGGGCTTGATAGACTTTATACAGATCCTGCAGGCAGACAGCTTGTCCTGCTCCGTCTTCCTGTAGATGAGAGAAAGAGAACGAAAAAGCAACCTTTGAGACACCGCTAAATTGAGCCTTTGAGCTTTTCGTTTGCTCGCGCTGATGAGCACGAGGGAGGCAACTCTCAATGGCTCGCACGCTCGCACATCGGACGAGACATTCAGCCGGTAAATTAGCTTCGCTGGTTTGTCGCTGCTATTTACTTTTCAAGACTGACGATATGAAGATGTAAGTTTATGTAGCAGTTAACATTGGATGTACTCGCGGGGGTGTTATTCGATTGAAGCATGGCTTTTTCAACAGCAATAAAAAAAATAGCAGAAAACTTTCATCTTCATTCGTTTTATGGCATCACCAAACTTTGGGAAACTGTGCAGTGTAGCCAGGAAAAATGATGCAATAGCACGTGCAAACAGAGACAAAAGAACGTAATCGAGAAATACGCGCAGTTAGCCAAACAGAGCAGCAGCTGCTGAAAAATAAAACCGCGTAAAGTGAGATTAATAGTTGTCGAGGGGAGGGGGACGAGGGTGGATGCCTTTAGAACAGTAAACATAGGTCGGCGTGAAAAAAAGAAGCCCGTTGCTTGGACGAATCAATGGACGCCCATGAGAAACTGAATGTTGCCACGCACGCGGAATATATCGATGAAATTGTGTTTGCGTTCGAATTTTTTCTCAACTATTTCCGACGGACTCGAGCAATCAACCTGAACTTGCTATATTATCGTCTATTCTCAAAATAAGAAACAGAAAAGCATGGGCTGAGGTTCGAGGAAAAAGTTCGAGTTGGCGAAGTGAGCGAGGTCGGGCGCCGAAAATAGCATCAAAGTGACCCGATCAAGTCGACATTTGCGATTGCATAAATAACCTGGTCGCTGGCGGCGCCACGGATCTTCCCGAGCCACGACTAGGATTTGCCTTTGATCCGTCGGCATTGGAACTCCGAGCAGTTGGCTCGTGGCTCCGCTTTCTCGGCCACGCTCTTTGTCTCCGCTCTGACGCTGCGTCTCCCAGCGATATCGTTGTCGTGGAAAATGCCCGCGAGCGCGTTTTCGCGTCGCTGCTTTGGACAGAATTTTCCAACTGGATCGAGCGACGCGAATGGGGAGCAAATTCAGAGGAAAGCACGCCCGCTTCGGTCGGTCGTAAGGAGAAAGCCATTGGCCAGGTACAGCTGCGAGGAGGCAGCTAACAGGGTGGAATAAGGGGAAGCCGCTGCACGAGAACGATCCCTCAAATCCGCGTAATTCGCGATTCACTTTGCGTAACCCAAGAGCACCGAGCGCCAGGAAAAAGGAACACCGCAAAGAGCGCGTTGAGCCGCCCGAAGCAAGAGAGTTTAAAACTATAAAACTGCCGGACTGGTCGGGTCGAGTACCGCTACCTTGGAGCCCCCATTGGCATTAGCCAGGCGGGCTCATGCATTATGCAGCTGGCGCGGACGGCCGAACAGAATAAAGAGTATCCGAGAACGTGCCTGGCCATAAAAATCGGGACCGCGACGTCGGCGACGATGTGTACGCGCGCGTGCATCGTCCGGGTGATCCCATGAAGCACAGTCCCTCGCCAGCTGCGTTCGAGGGCTTTGCCGACGGTGACCTACTAGGCCCACGTGACTTCTCGTTCTAAGCCGCTCTTCCAGTTGCTCTTCGTTATTTCGGTTTCGAAGCCGCAGCTATGTACGTCCGTACGTCCGTACGTTTGTATCAGTTCCGAAACTGCGTGACGCGCTTTCGTGTCATCGAATCTCATTCAAGTCGATCGTACGCGATACAGCGTACACTGCCACAAAGGGAGCAACGATATTCGAGACACCGCCAGCACAAAGCTGTAATCGATAAAGTTTTCAAATTTAGCCAGATATCCAGCGCGACGACAGAGCTTATGACTTGGCAGAAGTATGTCAGAGAGAATACAGCTGTTGAATACAGGGAGTTTCGGTGAAAGTGAGACTTACGCTTTCGGCGGTTCGATCAGAGGCGTGCTCTCCTTAGGCTGGATCGTCTCCACGGGCGTGACCTTGGCCGGGCCAATCTTCGTCACTGCAACAGAGAAAAATGAGAAAGCCGAGGCTTTGAGAGTAGGTCGTTTGACTCGAGCTACAGGCTGCCGAGCAAGGTTAATCGATCGCTAATTAAACATCGTAAAGGACCACGAATTCTGAGCAACAAATCGATGTAATCCTTTAATTCCTGTGCGACGATTGAAAGAGTCGGCAAATTTGCCATCCGCATCCTTCGAAACCATGATTCATTGAAAAAAACATCCGCAATGTTTTACGTTAAAAGTTTGAGCTTACGATAATTTTATGCAACACAGCTTTCAAAAATTAACATTGCTTTCCTAAAAGTATTTCAAAAGAAGTACGTTCAAAACGACAAAGTGACCAACTGAAAAATTGCAAATTCACAACGGAGAAAGGAGGCCTTTCTTTCGCCAAGATTTTAATGAAAAATTTTTCTTCGAAAAAAGTCATCTCTAAAAAAAGAAATAATAATCAGCCTAAAAAAAGGAGCGCGATATTAACATTTGCTCAAGCGAAAAAACGAACGGCAAGCACGTACAAGAGAGGAGAGCGTGTCTTTTTGAGCAAGAGCTGGGAAAAATCGATAAGCATCGCAACAAAAGCAACGCAATGGCGCAGGGACGCGTTGATACAAAGGCAATGTCTGCTTGGGCAAGGCTACATACTTTTGCCCGTGCGCGCGTTCGCTCTCTTGCGCATCGTCCGTCAGTCTTGAAAAACAATACACGCGAAGAAACAAAGCGTGATGTGAAAGAAAGAGACGAATCAGGGTAACGCACAAGGGCTAACTTTTTTTGGTTCAGAGTTCAGACCACGTCACATTTTTTCTCGTTAAAAGATTTTAAAATAAAACCCCAAGACTCACTCAATACAATATTCGCACAGTTGGCCTATTGGCGCGCACATGCCCTATCTCGAACGCTCGTATTGTCTTCGCGACAGGAGGCCCGGACATTTCCGAAACCACAGCCGCGAGCTGTTGAGGTTGGTCTGATATGGCACATGTGGGATGTGTATCGACGACATCACAAACTTCGTGGGCTCGACACATTTTGTTTTTGTTGACTTTTATAAATCCCACTGGATGTATTTATCTTTCGATGAAAGAATCCTGGATAAACGCTTACTCATTAGTACTCGATATTTTCAATGAAGTTCACTAATAAGTAGAATGAGTTTAATATGTATTTATCTGAAGAATCAATAAACATCGAGATATCATTAAATAGGTAATCTCGCTCAAGTATATCGCGGAGTAATAATCGATAATTGCCGAAATTATAAATTCTCTTCACTAATAACCGCCACCAGAGGTATACTTTCGCAATTTACTGGTAAGCTTACTTCTCCCGCAAAATGATCCAAGAGAGTAGAACAACATGCATTACTTAGGCTTCCCAGAGCTGCAGTAACAGCAACAGCCGGTTTGAGAAATTAGCTTCTCTCGTGTTCCCAAAGTATTCCTCCAAGTCCCTCCATCTAAGGATTATAGTCGTAACGATTAAAGGAGAAACCCACCTCACCACACCGAACGCAACCCAACCAAGTTTCGCCGCTATCGCAGCTTCATTTTCGGCTAGAGTTGAGGTAGATATTGTTAATTGAAATTGGCAAGCTACACCAATCAATGTCGATGCACGCATTTATATTCCTCATCTATCACGAAAAATATAGATTCGCTGTGTAACAATACGAAGCTGTAAAATTTTTTTTTTTTTCGTCAAATCCTATCTTTCTTTTTCTCCATATTCCTCAAATACGAAATAATACTCCGTTAATTTTTTACAACACAAATATCCTACCTTTCACTTGGAATGTAAATTAATTTTCGGGGATGGGAAAATGCAGCTGGCGAGTTATTGAAGGCGTTTATACTCGAGCATTGTTATTCGAGCGTGCAGCCGATTGTTTTCGCCGGGTATAATGCCTATTTTGTGAGGACATATAATCACTTTTCGCTCGCGCACATCCATCTATTCGTCTACACCCGAATGAAGTATTGTTTTGGAATGAGACGCACGCTTTGATTGTTGTCGCGTGAAATACCAGTTCGAGTCTTTTAAATTGTACAGCGCGTACGCGAACAGATTGACCTGTAAACAGAAAGAACAGCAATCGTGATTTGCCAATTGATATCTATTCGAGGCAATCGAAATCGAGGGTAGGGTAATCAAGTTACATTCGATTCTCGAAATCCCAATGCGAGAGCGCGTCCATATTCCCTTTTACAAGGAATTCCACTCCTATGCGCTCAGGCAGATGGCGGCTTTGCCTCGGTCACATGCGAAGCTCGAGCTCGAGAGGATCCTTTAGCTTGAAAGCGTTTAGTAAGGCAAATCGCGAGGCATCCTGCACTCGAATCCATTTGCTGTGTTTGTCCTATGCTCTGTCGAAGCTTCAACTCAGAATTTCGAGCTTGTATGTTCTGCTATATACTGACGATTGACTCCAATTGGATGTCAAGGCCTACCTCTGTGAATTTAAATTTTCATGTTGATTTCGACGAGAGACCTTGAGATTTACATCTACTGGGTGCACTAGACGCATCCTGTTAAACGTACTTTACTACGACTCGTATGGGCTTATAATGAACTCGTGTACATCAAACGTTTGCAGACTCTCGAAGAAAGAAACTCTTATGATAAAAGAAAATAAGCAGCTTGCCCACTATTTTCAGACGAATACAAGTCGAATGATAAAGAAACCAATATCCGTCAGGGATCCAAAGCATTCCCATTTACTATTCATTTTCAGATCTTATTATATCTTGTAAATCCGACAATCTGAACATATAGGCCTTTGATGTCAATAATTTTTTAATATTGCTGATAAAAAAATATGTTCTCTCCTTCCTTCACGCAAGAGACTGAACTGGAAAGGTGTGTGCGAGAGCTGCAAATGACTACATACGTATGCAGCAATACAAATGGACTTAATGGAAAGGGTAAACTTTTTTCCGGTTTTATGCACCATAACTTTGTATTCACTGTAATCCGTGTTTATAGAGCCTTTTGTGTGTATATTGCCGTGTAATATTTTTTTTAAGCATTACATGCTACTAAAGAATTTAATCAAATTTTAATCGCTCCCCCGGCGGCGATAAGGTTTATTGGGTCGTTACGATATTTGTACATTTAAATATTTTGCCAGTAAGAGCCAAAATTTTAAGTACCCCCGTTATGCGTCAATTGTAAATAACCTGATAACCCAATTTCAAAAAACATTCGGTCAGTGTTTAACAATTTATCGCGAGCTGAAGAGAAATAAAAAGAAATCAAGAAGATTTGCGAGGACCATTGGTACTGTAGAATTCAAGGAAAAAAGAAAAACAATTTGCTCAATGATAATACCTCGTGCCCTCGACGAATATCAGCAGGAGTGCATCCAAGTAAAAGTCCCCTCGAGACAAGAAAGACAAAGAAGCAAAGGAAGAAGAAGGAACTCAATTCCGACGGCGAAGAGCAGCAATTAATTTAAAAAGCTATAACGAAATAATCTTAAAGAAAGCAGCAACAAAAGAAGGGAGGGAGAGAAAAGCGATTCAGCAAGCAGTCGGCAATTGGAATTAACTGCCATTGCTACACGTGTCTCGTCGATATTTTACGGATCTTTCCAATTGCTCTTTCTATATCTGAATAGAGACTTGCCAGCAAGGTCGAGATCGATTCTCTTTTCCTGTCTTTAAGCGCCCACAAGAGAGACTTTTGCTACTGCTGCTACGACTATGTTGAAGGACTTGGAGGCTTTGTGATTGTGTATCTATAAAAGCATCTTGTTTTTTTTTATATCTGTAGAAGCGTTTTGTCAAATGATGTCTATATTTATTGAAAAGTGTCATCACCGGCGTAACAATAACTCAATAAAATCAAACTATGATTGAGGGGAATCGAATGATTAGCTTTGTACAAATTCAAATAATATATGGCAATCCGAGTCTAATCCATCGCGTCAAAATATCAAAGCAAGATCTGCAGCTAATAAAATTTGGAGCTCAATTTGACTCTGTATTTACAACACTGTAGACAGAACTACTTAAGTAAATACTAGCGGACTTGGGCCAACTAAACTATGGCTTCTCTGTTGACTAATAGACTAGTTTCTTTATTACCCAAAGTGATGAAGCTTCGACCGAAAATTGTGCACAGAATGGCAAGTTATACCAGTCGTAAGTGATATTATACACTTTGTGCAAGCGTACGTGCAGCGTTTATATTAATGGACTGTAGAAAGAGGCCCCGAGTGCAATTATTCTGTATCGGAAATTCTCATTGTTGCGCTCAACGTTTGGCTGGATTATCCGGTCGTAATCTCTTTGAATATAATTGCAGACAGAGGGAGAGAAAGACGATCTGCATCCTATTTCGCTTGAATAGCCTTGTTCATTTACGTTACTTGTATCGTCTAATTAAACAAACGTCGATCGCATGCCTGTTATATTTTCCCGAGGACGTGTGCTGCTGATAATGTCCAATGCTTAATGAAATTAATTATTATTTTCGTTCTGATTGATGACCGAACCAACCAGTGGCTCAACGATCTCTCGATATTTTTTATTTATCAAGATTTTATGGAAGATTCAACCCTGTTCACTCTCGGAAATGGTATATTTACACTCCGCGTGCGAATATTTACACCATCCGTGTATCTCAAATCTATCATACTACAAGTCTTCTTGGATTCAGAATCAGATACAAGTAATATTTTTATTTTCAAATGAAAAACTACTCAACAGTATGTTTCGTCAAAAGTATTCTCCCAAAATGTTGAATCCCAGCTAAATTCAGATTCATAGCCTTGAAATCTTGATCCCAAAGCATAACCGTTCGCAAATTGTCCTCACGCGATCTGGAATTTCAATCCTTCTTCCCGCGAAAAAAAAAACGACCTCAACATTAAGATAACACAACTACGACAGCATTTGTCTCTTGTAAAAAGGGAGCAAAGATCCGATAAAAAAGGTCAATCCTAAAAGTTTTTTCCCAATTTAGATGTTATCGGCAGGTACATTCGAAATGAAGCAATTAAGTCCCTGATAAAGTCGAAGAAGCTTTGGATTATTTTAACGTTTTGCCACGAACTGCCCACGTGCAATCAAATATTGACGTTGCTTTTAACGATACTCCAACGGGCTATTTTTAAGCTTTCGAGAAAACTGATGGAATATACTCGGTTGCATATATATTATACGGATATTACATTATCATTTATGAGTATATCAGAGTGTGATTCAATCCGACAGACAGAAGCTAGAAAAGTGATAAATGAACGATTTTTGTTTAATATTTTTTCTATCGAGCCGTCTTAACGATTAGAATATCAAGTTGAAAAATATCCACTTCATAGGTTTCGAATAAAGTGGAGCAACACTAAATGAATGAACCAATCGCCAGTAAAAAAGAAAAAAGAATAAGCATAGTTCTTCCCACGTAACTGTTGGATTTTTATTTTGCAAGTTTGCAATGAACCACAGTCCAACATCTATGTCGTCAATCTTACTTTGCTGAAAAGGATGAAGAAATTTCATCCTTTCCGCAATAAATGCTATAACATTTTTCAGCAGCGGCTATTGTTTTGCATTTTATATATCACGCGCGCGGACCTTGAGAAGGAAAATTCCACGAGCGTATTGGATTCCAGCGCGAGTTGACTTCTCGTCGAAGAATATTATTTTACCTTTATTGCTCGAGCTGCTGCTACGTTGGCGTACGTGATGAAAATGCCGAATCGTCATCGCGACACGCCTACAGAGCTTTTCACGAGTTACTGTTGTGCTGCTACTGCCTTTGAAAAATTGAACTTTACGAGCTTTAGTCACATACTTTCTTTCGAGTACTTCTTTTCCAGCTTCTTCTTTTTGAACAACGTGAGACTGTACTCGCGTGGGTGGTGAAGTAATCGATAAAAACAATAATATCGAGTGAGTAAGCGAATTTCCAAACGACTATTTTTAGCCGACCCATGGAGGGGTCCCTCTTCGCTTGTCAGAAATATGCTTTCATTGTCGCGGTTTTTGCAAATCGAGTCGATTTATTATTACTCATTGGCACGCACGTCTGCCTATAATTGAGTCAATTATCGCACGCTCCAATCATAATTCTAAACACATGCGAAATCGTATACAGATGGCAAATGAATTAGCAAACTATTCCGTTTAATGTATTGCTTACACAAATAAACGTGAAATGGCATAATTATGGTCATTATCCCACGAGATAGCAAAAGAAAACGACAGATAATCAAATAACATATTTTTCCGGTTTTCCGTAGCTATGCGCATCAATTTATCACCGTCAGCCCCGCTATCTTTCGTCGCTAGGAGACTCTATTCAGCGATCCAGTGGAGAGGTTTGGAACTCTCTATGATTCAAGAACACACTTTTCAAATGGAAATCCATATCCAGGTATAAGAGGAAAATGTGGAATTTAGGATTGCGCGTTGGATGTGTGTGGGAGAATTACTACACTGGAAATTATGACGCTTTATTGAGATTCCGCAATGCCTCTGGTATTTCGGGATAATTCTGATATTGAACGTCCCTGCGCTCTGAATGTCAATGATATTTGTAAGTATAGCCATTTATAGATGAAATATGATTTTTTTGTGATATCTGTTGAATATTTTTCTCGTTATATATAAAGATTGAAACGCTCAATGTTTTATTAAAAAATTTTCAATAACTTTTGAAAATAAGACGAAAAAACCACAATCGTTGTTTTATATAACTCTCGATTAAATTCAAACTTTAGAACGATTATCGATAAATTTTCAGATAATTTTTCGAACTTATTAAATTGCGTTAAGTTTTGCACAATTTAGAAATTTTTTGGTCTGAAAGAAAATTATATACTCTTCAACAGTCATCATTCTTCCATTCTATAATAATAATTTTATTGATTTATTGAAATAATCTACTAACTGACTCGAATGGATTAAAGTTTAATCAATAAAACTGATGTATTGTCTAGACGCGTCTCGAGACAATAAACTTTTTCTCATTTATACAGTTTACGATCACATGGGAAGATTAAAATCGTAATGATTTCCAAATAATTTTAATTTTCAGAGTTTTGGTCGTTAATAAATGTTCGAGAAACTTGTAAATAACTTCCGAAATTCAAGTTATTCGATAACAGAGTTTCGATTGTTTGCCATGTATTTTTATCAAACTCACCTGTACATTAAGTTAAATTACAATGAAATCTAGTAAAAGCCGTCATAAAAATATTTATGCGACTTTTAAGCGAGTGACTTTTTACATTGTTATGAAACCGGATCGTTTTGGGTTACAAAAATATTCAACTATAATAACTATTTCGAGAGTGTTGGCAAAAATAAACAAAATACTTACTGTTACTGCCAGATGTCATGAAACCCGAGCCAACCTGCCAGATCTTATTGAAGGTCCCACTGCTGTCGTCCGGAGCGGTGGAACCCGCTTCCGGCTGTGTGCTGACCATCTGTTATAAAAAAATTCGATTATCTATCAGTCTGATTTATTAATATATGCATTAATTAATATCTTCATTCGTTTTCCCACTAAATGAGAAAATGTAAGTGGTTTTATATTGATGTTTTCACTTTTTTAAATTTTCAATCGAAAAATTTATCATCAAATGAATTGAATTTGTGAATAAAAAGGAAAATTTAAAATGATGCAATTTTTAAAAGAATGCCGTCTTATTTTTTGTGCTCGAAGCATGCTAAATTCGAATGAAATTCGAAATTACGAGTACAAAATTTATTTTGATAGCTTCAAATTCAATGGAAGAAAACGCCGTTACACAATATTGAATCGATCGTCTCCAACATTTGGAAAAAATTCAATAACCCATCAAATTCATCAATCACTTCTCTTTTTTACTCAATATATATATGCTCGTTTCACAACCGTCAAAGCAAAAGGACTTGTAGAGGTTTTTGTATCGGGTAGATCTACTGTCACACCCAAAAGAGCTCTCAACTTGATGAAGCGTGTTTTTTTTTTACTCCAAAAGAGTTTGAAAAATTACAGCTGAGTGAGATAAACAATTTTCTCGTCCAAAATAGCTCCAAGGATGCTCTTAGAGACGTTGAATCTTTGATTAGATCCTCTCCGGGTTGCATCTACTGATCTGATGAGTAGTCCCGGTACACGTTGTGTCAGACGCGAGCTTGTGAATGCACGGATGCGGATTGAGTGGATTTTCATGAACCAGTTAGATTTCACTTTTAAGAAGAACATTCAAAAGAATGACACTAATGAATTGATACTTGTAAAGAAAACTCGTTGATAAATCATGAAGTTAATGTACTCGAAAAAAGAGGCATCTACAACAAATCGTCAAGCAAGTCGCTGACCACGGCCAAGCGAAACACTCTCCACAGAAATTCCAAATAAATCAACGATGGAGGTGAAAGGGTATAGAGGGAGAATAACTGGATCATCGAGCAAAGAATGTTGGAGGGGAGAGAGAGGTCAAGCGGATTTCTCGAACGAACGCGTAGCCCAATTAAGCGGAGGCCACTCGATGGCTACTGATATCCACTTGGAACGCCAGCGTGCAAAATTTCCTCTAGTTGAATTTATGCTCCTGTAAGATTTCATGTACGCTATTAAATATAGGATTTTCCCACCTAGTTGAACATACAAAATTCCATCGCGTACGAAAAATAGAGAACACGTCGATGCATTTCTTATGCATAAGAGATAGAGAGAAAAAAAGTTTATCCCGAGTAGTGTATGTATAAGCTCGACAAAAAAGGTGAAGTAATCTCGAACGACGACGACTTTTCGCAAAGCGCTCATTCATAAAAGTCCCCCCCCCCCTCTCTCTCTTTCTATCTATCCGTCTATCTACCCACGCGTGTATGTATATCGCACGCATATCATGAATGCCAAATATTCTCTGTCTGAAAAAAAAGACTTGGTGTGCCGAGCGTGTTTATTATTTTGCCTCTCTCCCATGCGATAGGGTAGAAGATGAATCGCTCGTAAAACCGATTTTCGCTCGCGAAAGAGGGATTATTTTCCCCAGCGAATTTTTTTCCTTCCATTTTCTCCTTTTTTTTTGTTTCAGCGGAGAGAAGCAGAATGCGTGTTGGTTGTTTGTCAACTACGTAATTTCCGCGAGCACTTTGAAAGAATTAATCAGTTAAGCAACCTCATTAGTAAAGCATTCCGGTACATGTACTTTCGAAAATTCTGTGCCTTTGCAAAAGCAAACATTCGCAAAACGAAGCTTGTCAAAATGAATTAGCCCCTGGAGAAACTGAAAAAATATCCTATAGGGGAGAAGTAGGCTATTAAACAAACTGTGAGTGAAGCCTTGATTATTATACAGCGAATTCCAACGTGACAGTAGGAGCAGCAACGGCAGAGAGGTGAAATTTCACGCGCACCCGCACTAATCGTGTTTATTCGTCGTCGCGCGCACGGCGTCGCCCTTCGCACACGGTATATAACATAATCTAGTTTTCCCCGAAAATTCGCCTGCAGCCAGAGCTGCGGGCGCTCGTGCGAGCGTTTTATTCCGAGATTATGTAACCGCTATAGCTACTGACAGAGCATTTTTCTAAGTACTCTAGTGCTGAGTAATAACTTGCCCAGACTTCAGTGCATTTTGTAGCAATGACAAAACCGTGAAAAGAATGATCGATTGTGAGCTTCTTTTTCTTTATTTTTGCTTTTTTCTTATTTGATGGATGGATTGAGTGATCAGGGTCGTGAAGATAAGGTTATCAACAAAATAACTATTGCCTTATTGCAGTATCTTAGTAATCTCTGTGGGCAATAAATTTATTTGATGCGATAATGGAATAGACGAATAAAATAAAATGTCTTAATAAATTTATAAAAGAACATTTAAATTGTCATAAAATATTGCTCATAATTCACGAGAAACTTCTTTTATAAAATTCCACGAAAAGAAAAAATCGATTCTACATATATATTTCAGATAATGTTATAATTCAAATGAGTGGAAAATAGTATAGGAAACGAATAGAACTATATATAATAAACGAATTGGCAGGTATAACCAAGCAGAACATAAAGATCTCCGTAAATTCAATAAACCACGAGGAATGTGTTTATAGAGACGATATTCAGCTTTATCTCGTCGGAGAAAACGGCACGAGAGGTAAGGGAAAGTTTCTCGAGAGCGAAATCCAGGTCACACACGTGGTGTGGTGTCGGCAACTGTCTCCGCGCGCGAGAACTTGCGACGTGTACAAACGCTTCATAGCCGCGAAAAAATTGTGCTTTGACGCTGACTTCTTTTTTTTTTGCGAGCCGTCTCTACAGAAAATTTTTACTCGAAATTCATCGTATAGCTAAATTAATATTTTTTTTCACCATTTTTATATTGACGAGCTGTCACGTCCCGAGATAGTTATAAAAAAATTAACGTCAAAATTTTCCTGATGCTCGCACTTCGAAAAGGAATAAGAGAGGGGTAAGTTATTTATCCATGAAAAATGAATGACTGTTTTAAAGAAAATTATTTTTATTTTTTTTTTCATCCTGTTTTTACGCTCGACGGTAAAAAATATTCTTAAATTTACTACACCCTTAATAAAATTTTCTCAAGTTATGACATTTTTTACTACATATACTTTCTTAACCAGGAAACGTAATTGAAACAGTAATTATAAGTGGATTTCAGCAGTAAAAACTTCATAATTCCACAAAGAAGAAAATTTACGAAAGTTGCAGTTCGCAACGAAGAGGACTAAATTAAACGCGAGTAAAAACTAGTTCAGGCGAAAATGCACAAGCAACGGTGTGTATTAGAAGTATCGCACCGAGTGCTAGCCTCTTTGCCATCGATCTAAAAAGAATGACATGTGCACGTGGCTAGTTGGGACAGAGTCAGTCGTTCGATCTGTACGTATGAAGCTTTGTGTGGGCGCAGAGAAATAGAACTCACGCCCTTGCCCCTCCATCCGTCAATAAAAATCGCACACGAGACAGAAGAGAAAGTTGTAACGAAACGATCGAATAGCTCTAAATCTTCAGCCGTATCGCTTTGGAGATAGTCAAATAATTCTCTTTAGAGAATTTGGCGTTTCGTACGCAGGAGAAAATTGGGTGCTTATTTTCCCAAGGAATATCATATAGCGAATCGGATGCGCGCAGACTGCTTTTATTCGAGAACCAGAAGTAAAGCCATGACTTCATCCAGCGAATTTCATTCGTTTTCTTATTTTATAAATGCACTACAAACTTGCTTGGCGCACCACGGACTTGTCCTGAACATGAATCGACTTTAGCACTCGCGAGACGAAGTGCCGGCATGAATCTGGCTCTCGTGACAAATGCATGACAAAACGTCGGTGAAACTTATCATCGGATAGGTTTTTTTTGGCTGACCACCGAGAGCAGTGAAACACATATATATCTTAAATTGATTAAATGTTATTTGCGCAGATATGCAACGAGTGGAAATATAGTATACAGCTGCTGAGAGAGGAGACGGCAGAGAAATGAATATTTCTGGAGGCGGAATTATGACACGAACGTAAAATGAACATGAGGCTAAATGAATTGACATATATCTGTTACGACCCCAATCATAAATTATGAATATTTTTAACGATTTTTTTCTAGTGTAAATTAATATTTAATTTTTTTTCATACAAAACGAAAAATATTTATATTTCAATTTCTACTTGGTTAGTAAGTACTACAATGTTACAATCGCAGTGTAGGCGTCGCTGTATATATATCGAACGAATGATTTCCGCCCTGACAAACCAACCTACGTCTGAAACCTTCGTAGCAATACCGAGTGTAATATCAATATTCTTTGATCTCGCGAACGCGAACTATAAATAACGGGCGGGCCAACAAAAAAGGTGGAAGTAGAAGGTATCGCCTTTTCAATCTCACTGCAGAAACACACACAGACACACCAGTTCATTCATTCTATCTCTCAGCGACGTGATTCTATTCGCATAAAGCTCAAAGTAGGCGCCTCTCGAGAGTATAAAGAAGCGTACGAAGGTGTGTAGGTCGTTTGGTATAGGTCGGATGCGCTGATTTATGGAAAAGTTGGTGCGCAAAAGGATCAAGGAAATAAACGCGTCGATTTCGTAGCCGCGCCCTCTGCCCACGACAAATACGTTTCCTCGGCGAATTGCCTTTGTGTGCCTGCTTTTTTTTTTAATGCGCGCAGCCCTCCACGAAAAAAAAATGGTTTTTGTTGCTAGATAAATCCCTTTGCCGCGTCGCCAAGTCGTCGTTTTACGAGCAGAGTACTTTCGCACGATCTCTCTTTAGTAAATGCGTTTTTTATTTCGAGCGTCATCCGATGACGTTTCTCGGATTAAAAGCACGACGCCAACGCTGCGGCGCGATGTTGCGTCGAGCGAGAAAAAGAGAAGCCGTAGGAGAATTGCTGTCCTTGTTGCCGAGGGAGAGGAGTAAATAAGGCACGACAATGAAAATAATGCGACAATAGGTTTTAAAGAGAAGGGA